TTTCCCTAGTCTCTTCTATTGATCGGTGTGTCTTTCCTTTGCCAGTTACTTCTGCCTTGATTATTGTAGCTTTATATTAAGTAGGAAATGAGGTAGTGTGAATCCTCCAAACTTACTATTATTATTTTTAATTATTTTGACTAGTTCCTTTGTCTCTGTATATAAACTTTAGAATAAGTTTGTCAAATTAAAAAAATCTGCCAGGATTTTTCATTGGGATTGCATTGAATCTACAGATTAATTTGGGGAGAATTGACATTTTAATGGTATTGAGTATTCCAAACTATGAATGTGATGTATCTCTTCATTACGGTTTTGTAGTTTTCGGCATACAGATTCTACACATGTTTTGTTAGATTTCTACTGAAGTATATTTTTTATGTTTCCTCATGCTATTGTAAATGGTATTTTTTAAATTTCAGTTTTTGATTGTCTATTAATATGTAGAAATACAATTGATTTTTTTTTTTTTTTAATGAGGAAATTTTTTTTTAAATTAATTAATTACTTTATTTATTTTGGGCTGTGTTGGGTCTTCGTTTCTGTGCGAGGGCTTTCTCTAGTTGTGGCAAGCGGGGGCCACTCTTCATCACGGTGCGCGGGCCTCTCACTGTTGGGGCCTCTCTTGTTGCGGAGCACAGGCTCCAGACGCGCAGGCTCAGTAGTTGTGGCTCACGGGCCCAGTTGCTCCGCGGCATGTGGGATCTTCCCAGACCAGGGCTCGAACCCGTGTCCCCTGCATTGGCAGGCAGATTCTCAACCACTGCGCCACCAGGGAAGCCCCTGTTTTTTTTTTAAATAGTGAACTTTAAGTTTTCTAGAGTTCTTGGAACTTCTTTGGTAGATTCTTTGGCATTTTTCTATGTAGTCATCTCATCTGTGAAGAGAGGCAGTTTTATTTCTTCGTTTTTGATCTATATGCTGTTCATTTCTTTTTTTTTGCCTTATTGTACTTGCTAGGACTTCCAGAATGTTGTTGAATAGGGACAGTAAGCAGGCATCCTTGCCTTATTCCAAATTTTAAATGAAGGCATTCTTTCACTATTATGTATGATGTTAGCAGTAAGGTTTTTGTAGATGCCCTTTATGAGGTTAAGGAAGTTCCCTTGTATTTCTGTTTTGCTATTTACTAGGTTGAGGAAGTTCCCTTTTATACTTAACTTTGCTAAGAGGGTTTTTTTTTTTTTTTTTTAAATCATGAATAGATGTTGGATTTTGCCAGTGCTTTTTTTGTAAGTATTGATTGAGGTTATCATACGAGTTTTCTTTTTAGTCTGTTGGTATGGTCAGTTTCTTGCGTTTTGGATGTTGAAGAGCCTTTCATTCCCAAGATAAATTCTACCTAGTTGTGATGTATTATTCCTTTTATATATTGCTGGATTGATTTGCTAATGTTTTATGAAGATATTTGTTTCTGTGTTCATGACGAATATTGGTTAGTACTTTTTCCTTGTATTTTTATTGGTTTTGGAGTAAGGAAAGCTACCAGCCTCAAAACAAGCAGTTGGGAGGTATTCTTCCCTATTGTGTTCTGTGGTAGAGTCTGTATACAACTGAAGGTATTTCTCCCTTAAATGTTTGGTAGAATTCACCAGTGTAGCCATCTGGTTCTGGAGTTTTCTTTGTGAGAAAGCTTTTAACTATAAATTTATTTTCTTTAATTTTATATAGGACTA